AAAGATGATACAAAATTTTATTATAAAGAATTCTCTTTATAATTTTTGAGAAAACAGAGAGAACAGATATTGGACGGTAATTACTAACATTAAGTAAGTCTCCACCTTTAAATATTGGTGAAACTCTAGCTATTTTTAATTCATCAGGAAAAATTCCTTGTTGAATTGAACATTTAAATATTTTAAAAAGGATATTTTTTATGATATCATAGGAATAAATAACAATATTTCTATTGATATCATCAGGACCGACTGCTTTATTTTGTTTTAGCATTTTAAAAGCTCTATCAAATTCATCAAAAGACAATTCAAAAGAATTTAGACAAGATAAAAAAGGAAAACTACATCTGTTTATTATTTTATTAATATTAGAAATTTTCTTTGCTAAATTTGGTCCAACTGAAATAAAGAATTCATTCATTTTATTTGCTACCACTCTTGGATCATAAAATATTTTATTATCAATTTTAATAGCTCTAGGTAGAGAGCTAGCTATCAATTTCTTACTGCCTGTAATTTCCCTTATAATTTGCCATGTTTGCTTTGAATTCTCTTTATACTTTTCTAGTAAATTTATATAGTATCTTTTTTTTAAATTTTTTCTTTGGATTTCAAATTTTTTAGCATAATTCTTATAAATTGTCTTTCTAATGTTCTCGTTTTTAAATACTTTATATACAACTTTTGCTTAACTTTAGAACTTTTTCTGAGATCTTTTGTAATCCATGGTGACGTAAAATCTTTATTTTTTTTTTAGTATTTTATGTTGAGGAAAATTAAATCATAAATTTCAAAAAATATTTTTAAAAACAAATTATAGGCTAAATTAGCATCATTAGAATCTATGTGTTTCCAATGAAGTAAAGATAATTGTTCCTTAATCTCTCCGATTAGCTTATTTTTGCTTGTGTTATCTCATTTACTTCTTGACACGTTTTATTTTTTTGAAACTCGATGAAATATTATTTACTTTAATTATACAAAAACGAAAATTAATTAAATTTTCATAAATATTGCAAAAAATAAAACTAAAATTTACTTCCAGAACCGTCTTGAAAAAACCTTAAAGGAGCAAGGAGGGGGGGGGGGGGGGTAAGAATATATATTTTTACGTAAGAAAATAATTTTAAAAAATGTTGGTCTTCGTTTTATGAAATTTGAGACTTCCTAATAAAGACCAAATTTGCCAACTAGAAGTCTAAATTTGCCGACTATTTCTTTAATAAATATTTTGTTGGGGAGTTAGATACCCCCTACGCTTTCACCCATCCCCTCGGGACGGCCCTGTTTATTTCTTATAAAATACAATATAATTTTTACTTAAAAAATCCACTTCATTAACTACTTTAATCTTATTAGTTAATAACTTAATAAATTAGTTAATAAATTTAATAAACTTATTATTATTATTATTATTTTTTGAAAAGGTTAAAATTAAAGTTTATTAAACATCAATAATAAAAAAAATTGTGTGTTTTTTTATATAGAGAATTTTTTAGCTTTCTACCTCTAGTTTTCTGCTGAACCAGGCCGCGTCATTGGCGTTGCTTTTTTATCCAATTCTGTCTAATAATGTTTAATATTTATTGTACCATTGATTTTTTTTTTATTTTTTATGTTGATTTTAGGTGCCCCAAGAAGTCCTTACGGTCTTATCACAGAGCACCGCGGAAGAGCATTTAATAAGAAGTTCATGCCTCCTTCCTAACCGATGTCGCAAAACTTGCCCAGAGGCGGGGTTTGAACCACGGATCTTACATTTCTGAGGCAAGTGTGCTACCACTGCGCTGATTGATTGACTGCCACTGATTGATTTTGCAACTCTGAGGGTTTGCCCCCATTAATTGATAGCAATCGATGCAAGTCCTTTCGCGTGTTGTAAATCTAGATTAAAGTATTTTCAATAATAAACGAGTTTTTTGTTGCGCCTATCTATATTATATTGTTGCCGCAAAACAAGACTTAAGTTCATTTTTGCTGTTCTTAGAAAAGCCATTTAAAGTTTTTAATGCATCACTGCATTTGATCTTCTTAATTAAACCAAGTTGTTTTACAATACTTATAGAATATGTTATTATTTTTCATAATATAACCAATAAAAAGTAAAAAATTTAAGTTTATGAAGTGCAACAATGCAAATGGCCTTAAAACTATAAAAAATATGACAAAATTCTACAAATTGAGTTGCCGCTGCAAAACAAGACCATCTTAAGTATGTTTTGGCTGTTCTGAGAAAAAGATATTTAAATTTCAAATTTAATCACTGCTTTTGATTTTTTTTTTTTTAATTAAATCTACTTGTTTTCAGTTATTTATTGTATGTATTAAGTATTTTAAATTAAACAATTTTTTTTCCCAAAAAAATGGACTTAGGATAGTTTTGTTTTGCAGCAACAATGTCTCCTCATTATTTTCTTTTTAGGGCATAACATACTTGAATTTGAATCATTTTTAATTCAATACTTTGTGAGATGACTTTTGTGCATCAATAGAGTATTTTAAACCAAAAAAGTCAATTTTGATAGTTTTGCTTTGCGGCGACGATATTGCTTACTTAATTTCAGAAATATTTCCGAACCTAAAAGGAAACTACATGCAGCAGTCTTTAAAAGAAAACAACTTGCTGTTCTTTAGAACGTGACTGGGTGTAATAAATTTTTTATTGTAGAAAGAATAAGTCAGGGTTGCCTTATCACGCTCTACAATATTCATAATTTAAAATAGTTTTAATAACTGTCATTGATTTTTTTTTTACATTTTACGTTTTTGATTTTCAAAGCGCCACACCAGCCTAATGACAAACATTTAAAAATATGATAAATGTGAGACTAAATGTTTATAGGTAATGCTGTTTTTTTTAGTTTATTGGAATGATATATATATATATATATATATATATATATATATATATATATATATATATATATGTATATATATATATATATATATATATATATATATATATATATATATATATATATATATATATATATATATATATGTATATATATGTATATATATATATATATATATATATATATATATATATATATATATATATATATATATATATATATATATATATATATGTATATATAATATAATATAATAAATGTAACATTAATTTGATTAACCATTTACATTTTTATTTGGAAAAGCGTAAAATACTAGGGCGAGTTATAATACTGAAACACTTGTATAAAGAACAACAATATTTTAATTGTTATAAGTTTTTCTACTATAAAATAATTCTCTGCAGCCATAATATAAACAGAATATACTATAATATAAACAAGGTTCTTCATGTATCTTCTTCTATAAGTCGTAATTGTCGACGAATTACTCTTGAGGATCTATGATTCAGGTTTTTGAAGTAATCTTGAAAAGAAAGCTACAGGGCGGCCATTTTGATTAAAAACTGCAGCTATAGCAATGTCAGATACGTCCATTTCTACTTCAAATGGAATATTTTCGTTCACATAATCTGTTACAGCATTTGCAATGTCTTGTTTAAGTTGATCGAAATCATTTGCACACTGATGATCTAATGGGTACTTGGTGTTTTTGGTAAGAGAAGCTATCTTATCGGAAAAGTTTGGAATCCATTTAGAGTAGTATGAGAATAGTCCGATGATACGCTTCATGGATTTAGCATCATGAGGAGGAGGCATTTCTTTCATAGGTTGAAGACAACTAGGATCTGGTTTGAGCTTTCCTTCTTCTATAAGATAACCAAGAATGCAAATTTTATCTTGGTAAAAGCTACATTTATCATGATTATAAGTAAGATTTATATTTTCAGCTGACTTGAGAAATTTTTCCAGATTAATATCATGCTCCTCGTGGGTTTTACCACAACATGTCACATTATCTAGATAAGCATAAGTATCTAAAAGTCCTTTTTTTTCTATAAATTCGTTTATGGTACGTTGAAAACAAGCAACGCCATTTTCAATTCCAAAAGACATTCGCTTTAATTGGAACAACCTCCCATTTGCTTCAAAAGCTGTAAATTTTCTATCATTTTTGGTAATTGGAATTTGATGGTAGGCTTATTCTAAATCAGCTGTACTAAATATTTTGTATTGAGCAATTTTGTTTACTAGATCATCAATCCTTGGTAATGGGTAAGCGTCTAGTTGAGTATATTTATTTATTGTTTGACTATAGTCAATAACTAATCTTTTCTTAGAGCGTTCTCCTTTAGTTACAACTACCTGAGCTCTCCAGGGAGCATTTGCATGTTCGATAATGTCCTCTTTAAGCATACGTTGTACTTCCATTTCAATGAATAATTGGTCTTCTTTGCTATATCGACATGATTTTGAAGCTATTGGTTTACAGTTAGGTGATAAATTGCCAAATAAACTAGGAGGAGATACATTCAACTTCGACAAACCACAAATTAATAGTGGGGATCTTTTTCCTTCAAACTTAAGGGTTACAACTTTGTGTTGTTTTTGAAAATCGAGACCCAGAATAACATCCATGCATAACTCATTTAAGATGTTAAGTTTTACTAGTTTATAATGCTCATTTTTTATTGAAATATTGACAAAAACTACTCCACAAATTGTACTAGATAAAGATGATGAAGCCATAGATACCTGTTTTTGGTTTTGTATATGAACTGTTAGGTTTAGTTTTTGTACCAATCGAGGGTGAATAAAACTATCAGTGCTACCACTGTCAATGAGAGCATTTACGAATGAACCATTAACCAACATGCCAATTGTTGATTTAGTCGAAGATGAAATGGAAGCAGAAATGTTCTTTAAATTAGTTTTATGTTCAGGGTAGTCTAGTCAAGTGAGTGAAGGATTGTATGAGTTCAAAGGTTGATCAACAAGATTCATCCCTGCTGTTGTAAGTTTAGAAGATTTACATAACTTGGCAAAATGACCAACTTTCTCACATTTAAAACAAATCGACTCTCTAGCAGGACAGACAGCTTTAGCATGTCTTTGATTCCCACAGTTCCAGCAATTTGAAACAGAATTTTAGTTAAATTGCTTTGGCTTTTTTGTTATTGGAGCTACTGTTGTATCTGATGTATTATACTGGAGGTAATTTTCAGCATTTTTCTGTGCTGATTCCAAGGTTCTAGCTTTTGAAAATATTTCATCCAGACTTATTGTACTGTTTTCTAGTAGTCGCTGTCTGACAACCTGTGAATTTATCCCTGTTATAAATGCATCTCTAATATATTCATCGCGATATTCAATAGCAGACACCTGTTTAAAGTTAGATTCTTTTGCTAAAACTTTAAGAGCGTGTAAATACTCATCAAAACTTTCTACTGGCTGTTGCTTACGAGTTGCCAAGAGGTGTCGTGCATAAACCTCATTTGATGGTTTGATGTACACAGATTGTAAAGCTTGTATTGCTGCTTCATAATTTGGACATTCACTTATTATTTCATAAACATCAGGCTCAACAAAATTAGTCAGGATTTTTAACTTATTGAGTTTTTGAGGGAGTTGATTAAGATAATATTCAAATGTTCTGAGCCAATGTTTAAATAATTTTGTTGCCGAAGGTGAGTTTGGTAATGTATCCAAGCGAGAAGGTCTTAGAGCTCTATCCATATTTTATTTTGATAAGAGTAGAAAATTGAAACACTTGTATAAAGAACAACAATATTTTAATTCTTTTTTTTTTCTACTCTAAAATAAACAAAATAAATAATCAAAACACAACAATTACATAAAAAAAAAAAAGAAAAAAAAGGTTCTCTTAATGTAGACAGGTATTATTATCTCTTATTTTTAGACCGGTATGCCAAAAAATTTTTTTGTATATGTCACTGAGCATATAATCTTTAAAAGCAATTTCTTGCTTTATTAACTTATACTTTATTTAGCGCATTTTTTAAACATTTTCAAAAATCTAAAAAGTCGTAATTAAGTTGTTGCAAAAAAAAAAAAAATCGTGGTCAGGTATAGAGTGCAATCGCACACCTTTCCTGTCCACAACTGATATATATGTGTGTGTATATATATATATATATATATATATATATATATATATATATATATATATATATATATATATATATATATATATATATATATATATATATACATACATACATATATACATATATATATATATATATATATATATATATATATATATATATATATATATATATATATATACATACATATATACATATATATATATATATATATATATATATATATATATATATATATATATATATATATATATATATATATATATACCATAGAGTACCATACCATATATCAGCAATTTACTCTTTTTGCTTACCCTTTTAGCAGAAAAGAAGAAAAGTAAAGAATAATAAAAGAAAAGATTGCTATCCTAGCCAAAACTCTCAGTTGATGAAGCAGCATTTCTTTATGGCTCCAGGCTATAACATAGTTATTACATTCTGACTTTTTTATTTTTGTTTTTTTACTGTTTACATACATCGACTAACAAATAAGTAGAACAAGCAAGGAGTGCTGCTAAATTGACTGACAAATAGGTAGAACATGCAAGGAGCGTTGATGCATCGATTGACAAATAGTTAGAATATGCAAGGAGTGCTGCTACATTCATTGAAAATTAGGTAGAACATGTGAGGGGTGCTGCTACATTGGTAATAGGTTTTGGTTTGGGCAGGCAATCTATTAATTAAAAAAAAATAGCCAAGTCTGCATAGTTTGGTTTATACTTTATGAATTTAAAAAGTTAAGTATTTCTTCTAGAGGAATTAGAAAATTTTTTTTTAGCTAAGTTTTAAGATTTAATGGACATTGCAAAAATCTTAAAGCAATTATATTTTCTTGAAGACTTTGCTTTAGTTCAATGACATCACAGAAATTGTGCAGTTTCAACATCACCATATTTGATTTTTTTTTTTTTTTTAATAACAATCATTTATAAACAAAAATTGCTTTAAATTTAAAATAAAGGTTCTTAATACTTTTTTTTTTTTTTTTTTTTTGTTATACAGGCTGGTATGGTTCTTTGCAATTTTTATATTTTATGAAAATATGTGATTAGATTAATCCTACTAAAAATATATTATGGCATCACCTGCTGTTATAGGAAAATCAAAGGTAACTATTAAATAAGTTACAACTTTCATATAGGTACTCATTCAAACTATTACTCTTTTCAAAAAGTATTGGTTAGGTTTTCTCATTTAGCCCTCGGAATTAGGAAAAATAAGATTCGCAAAAATAATAAGAAAGGGTTGACAAATTGAAAAACTTATGAACATTTAGCATCAAATTAATTTTTTGTTTTTATTTTAATTGCTTTATTAAGGATTTAAAAAAAACTTTAGTTTTTCTGTCTTTTTTATTTTCTGTATATATAATTGTTATTTTATTTAGAATTTAATAAAAGCAATATTTTTTATCATTTTTATCAATTAATTATTTCATTTAAAAGTGAATTAAATTTTGTTTTAATTTTTTTTATTTAGAGTTGAATTAAATTCTAAATAAAATAAAAACAAATTCATTTAAAAAACACAATATTAAGCCATACAATTTGTTTAAGTAAAACATCCTTTTTAATCTTGTTTTTTTATAATTAATTTGTTTAGAATTTAAATAAAAAGTTTGTTTTGCCATTTTTATTTTTATTATTTTCTCTAGAGTTAAAAAAAAAAACTTTTGTTCTGCTGTTTTTATTTTATCCATATATTTAAATAAAATGTTCATTTTTATGGTTTTTTCTTTAACTTTATTTAAAAAACGTTTGTTTTTTTGGTTTTTATTTTAATTATTTTATTTAAATTTGATTTAAGTGTCTATTTTGCCGTTATTAATTTGTTTGAAACAGCATATAAAATTAAGTTTTAAAATTCTGAGGTCAGAAAAAAATTGCTGACCTTTAGACAATTTCAGGTCAGCAGTATATAAGGCAATGCCCAATGCTGACCCTAATTCTGAGGGCTAGTCAATAGGTTATTTAGTTATTCTTTATGTTATTATGTCATTTACTATTTATGTTGTTGGGTTTTCAATATATTAGTTTTACACAAGTTTTTCTCATTAAGTAGCTATTCAACAGTTTAAGAATTTTGATCTAAATAAACTAGAAATTTCTAAAATAGTTTTAGAAATATGTTATTAATAATAAGTATGTTTGAATTTAATTTTAAAAAATTGTAAAATGCCATTGCTTATTTGGGTGTGGCAGGCCTTGTTTTAAATAAAAAAGTGCTTTATGCATTAGCTTAACACGATTTTGACGTCATAAAATTATCTTTATTTTTTTTATAGACGTTAAGTGTTTTAACTACCGCAATAAATAAATAACCGCTAACTAGTTCAATTCAACAATTAACTCAAATAACTATAAACATTTTAAATGTAAATTTATTAAGAAAATTTTGTAATGTTTTCAATTGTTATTTTATTATTAATTTTAGTTCAATATTATTTAGTAATATATATATATATATATATATATATATATATATATATATATATATATATATATATATATATATATATATATTATATATAAATATATATATATATATATATATATATATATATATATATATATATATATATTAATTATTTCTGAAATTTGTTTTTGAATAATTGTTTTTAATCGTTATTGAATAAAAAATAATGATTTTTTTTATTTTTAAAAATTGCTAGAGTAAACAAAAAATATTAACATTGATAAAGACAAACCCATGTTAATTATTTAAACAACGATTTTGTTTTGACTAGCAAAGAAAAATTTAGGTTTTTAAATATTTTTTAAATTTATCTTGCTTAGCGTTTCAACTTGCGTTTTATAAAAATATAAAAAAGTTTTGTCTGCTTTGAGCATATTTTTGATACATAGTTTAGAACGCGTTCGCCAGAAATTTAATTCATAAATTTTTTATGTTATTGTAAAAATATTTTACTTTTTAAACAAATCACAAAGAAACAGAGCTATAGAGAAAAATCGCTTTTAATGATTAAATCTTTTTTTTTTAAATTTTAGGAAATTAAAAAAAAAAAATTAAATTAAATATAAAAGTCTTAATTATGCAAACTCTTTTGTTAATTATTCTTAAAACAAAAAAAATACTTCTACGCTAAACTTTAATCGTGCAAACTTAAAAAAATACTCAACTGAAATAATTTAAGTATATTTAATAATTTGAATCGTATCTGTTTATAATTAAACGTTCGTAAAAATTTGTTTATTAAAAATTAAGTTCCTTAACTTATAAACAAACTCAAAAGTATTTTCATTCTACGTATAATTACAAAACTCTTTTTTTTTTCGTTTGTAAGCAATTTAACTAAATAAAATAAAAAAAGAATAAATATGAGGTAATCTTTGTTAAGAACAAATTTTATTTATTGAACTATATTTTTATTTTTAATTATATATTAACTTAATTAAAATATAGTAACATGTTAAAATATTTTAACATGACTTGTGTTATTTATAAACCATAGGGCAGCTGCCCTTACAACATTATTGTTTTTGGATAGTATTTTATTTTGATGAAGATCACATAACTTACATTTGATTTTAATAACGTAAGTCTTCTCTTTTTCTGTGATCATCACATCCGCAAAGTCCCAAGATTTAAAAGTTTTTAAAGTAAATCTTTTGTCCTTCAAAATACAATCCATATTCGAACTTTAAACAATTTAGAGATAATAGAAATATACAAGGTTTTTATATACTAGTTTGTTTTGTTTTATAAAGAAAAATACATATTCATTAGTAAAAAATGGAGACTGTCATTAAACTAAAACGTGCCTTAGTATTTATTTAACGGAACCTGTAATGTGCGCGTGCATAATAAAACCTCCGTTATATAAATATATTCAACGTAATATTAGTGTCATCAGCGGATGTTGTAGTCTACTCATGATTTCTTTACCTTATAATATAACTTGATTTATGAAAAAAAAAGCTTATTGAATCGCACGCAGAAGAAATTTAACAAATTGTCTTCATTCAAATATTGCGAGTAACAGGTAATTTTTTTTTTCTGTGCCGACCTCCTCCCCCCCCACATAACTTAAAAGTAAAGGTATCTATATACCTTTAACTAATAAGAAAAGCAAAGACATTTTTTTTAATATCTCGAAAAAATGTCTTGATATTTTTGTTATCATGATAACAAAAATATTATGACATTTTTTGAGATATTCAAAAAAACGTCAATTCCTAATTACAAATTTTTTTGCGAATGTTTTTTATTATACATTCAGTAAAAAATTCTTAAAAAATCTATATTACAAAAAACATTTATATTCTGTATATAGATTATAGATTTTTTAAAAGTTTTTTACTGAAAACTTTAAAAAATTAATACTTTTTATTAAAAACATTGCAAAAAATTTGTAGTTAAGGATTGACAAACAATTTTTCATGTTGCTCAATATTTGGATAAAAAGTTTAGCGTCAAATTAATTGCTGTAAAAAGGAAAGATATATCGCGATGAAAAGTTACAACAATTATTTTTTATATAAATTCTTTTTTTTAATAAATATCTTTACATATCGATATTTAAAAGTTAATGTGGTTTTTTTAAAAATTAATTACTTCTTTTATGTTACCGCTAATTTAAAAGTTAAAAAATGATTAAAAGTAGCTTAACCAAAACAGCTCTACGCGTATGTAAAAATCGCTTAAGGCGTACGTAAATCGCTCTAGGCGAAACGCTTTGAAGCAAGGCCTGGTGTGGTATACTGTGATTCGCTAATTCATTGCAAAACTAATTTAAAAATAGATTCCGGCATCACTCTAACTTGACACAAGTTTTTATCTGTGGATAAAAATAGCTGACAAGGAAACCAGACAAATTTGCTTTATTTTGGAACCCTAAATAGTCAAATTAGCACAGAGTTGAAAAATTTTGTTGTTGTTGTTGGATTTCATATTAGGCTACTTTGAAAGTAAAAACAAAAACATTTAAAAATAAAAACAAAAACAAATACATCAATACTCTCATCCTGACTTTCCTATTACTATTAAAGTATCTAGGTTGAAATCAACACTATCATTTTCATTTTTAGTATACCAAATATACTGTAAAGTTAGTATACCATATACTGTAACCGTTGATCCCTAGTTAAAACAACAATTGAAAAGTTGAAATAAATTAGTTACCCATTTAGTTTTTTTTAAGCTCGAAAAATTTTTATTATAATTTTATATATTATAAATATTTATTTCATTATTCAAATTAATCATCAAAAAAAGTTTGTTTATAAAAGATTTATTTAAAAATCTCTTAACCAACTTACAGTTCTTAAGTTTTTCAACATCATTTCAATCAAAGAACTATAAAAACAGCCAGAATTCAAATTAGAAAAATTTAAATGTTGGTTGAACTTAATTATTTAATTTTCATGCCTCATTTATTTTTAGTTTATCTTTAGTTTTTTTATATTATAATGTTTTGTTTATTAAATAGCTGAATGAAGATGTTGAAATTACCCAAGAAGATCAAAAGATGATAAATGACTTTGCCAACAAGAATTCAAAGCATAATGAAATCAAGGCTTTAATTTTATCTAATAAGGTATTAATTATTTTTATATTTATATTTTTTGTGGAAAAAAAACACTTTAAGTGGTTCAATTAAATGAATTTAAGTTCTTTAATGTATGCAGTATTGCGTACCTTAAAACATGAAATAAAAAAAAATGCTGCAGTGTTTTGATTACAGATCAATTTAATAATAATAATAAAAAAAAATCTGTGTGTAAAGTGCTAAGATGCATGTATATATTTTCAAAATTAAAACTTATAATTTTTTGCTTTTTTTAAAATTTTTTTATTAAAATCAGCCATTATAGTAGTCAAAATAGCCTATTTATGGCTTTCCAGACATAACTATCATTCTCTATAAAAATGTTATATTTTTTATATTTAATTAACGTTGAGAATAAGATCTCAGATTATGTATTTGTGCAGTTTGTTTGATAAATAAAGTTATCAGATCTAACACTTTAAAACTTATAACACCCTCAGTACATGAAAAAATTCAAGAAAACATCTGGCCAAACTTTGATTCTGTTCTTGTAGTTTGTCTTTCAGTAGTTGGTTTATACTGAAAAAGTAACTTATTTAGTTTAAACAAAGGAGAGACTGCATATCTTACCAACTGCTTAGAAACTAAATTTATTTGCATAATCTGAATTAATTTAGAGTGAAAAGGGAGCTAACATGTTCAATTTCAGATTTTATATTTTAAAAAATATATTTCAAGAAAATAATAAATAAACTTTTGCAATTTTCATGTAACTTAAGTTGACAAAAACATGACAAAGTTTGATTTTTTAAAGTTTTTCCTAAAATTTACTTAAAAAACTTTAATAATATATGCGAAAGAATATTAAATGTTACTTTTTTACAAGTTTTAAATAATGATACTTAGTTTAGGCACGTTTTAATTTTAAGTTTGTGTAACATAATTTAAAACTACATGCATTTACTAAAGTTCTGGTACTTTTTTTGTAAAGTTTTTGTTGTTTATAAAATGAACACTTTTTATGTAATTCATATTTGGTTAATATTTTTGTTTTAGTAAACAAATCATGTGTAAATGCAATAAAGAGGGTCGTCCATAAAGTATGTCACCCTATGTTTGTCAATTTGTAACCCCTTCCCTCCTGTCACAAACAATCACATATATTTGCATCTCCTCTCCCTCCTAAACTGTGATGACAGTTTATGTCAAATATATTTTTAAAGATTTAAATGAAAATACTTTGAAGCATTTTTATAATTCAACCTAATGAAAATAAAGCAATAAGCATAAACATAAGAAGTGTAAGTAAAATTTTTGACAAACTAGAAGATTTTCTTATTTAAATGGCTTAATAAGTATTAAGAAAGTTGTCATACTTAAGTAATTTTTTAAAGTTGATCTTGGTCTTGCGGAAAAAACTTTTTTGATTTGATAATTATCATAAAGTGCCAGTTTTTTTTAAATTACATTTGTTAATTTCTTTTGATGAATGAATTCAATAGTTTTGCAAATTGTTACCTAACTCTAAGAAATCTCCTAATAATAGATATAAAAAATCCATGCTAATAATCGCTCAGTAACATGAGTGATGTAATATAAGTTAAATATATAGTATCAAAAAAACAAGTTTATTTTCCTTAGCCGGTCACCTCTGATGAATTTTTAAATATTTTTTTTATTGGTATAGAATTCTCAACATCTTGTGAAAATTTCCAATACAATCTGCTTTACTGACTTTACATTTTTAGTAATAAGTTAGCGTTCTTTAGGCCAAACTTTAAACTTTTTAGCTTATTTTATTCTTCAGACTAACAGCTTTCATACAAACTAGCTAAAAATTTAATTTACCATTTAAATAGGTAAATATTTGATAAAGTTGTTACGCCTGTAACCTAAGTTAAAAATGGAATTGCTAATGTATGTATATTTTATATATATAGATATAATTTCCCATATATGTATATTATATATATATATATATATATATATATATATATATATATATATATATATATATATATATATATATATATACACACACACACACACACACTTACTAAAGCGTATTTTTATAAGCATTTGCTCACTTTTTTTGCTCACTTTAACCCATACAGCTTTTTTAGAAAAAGAAGAAAAAAAACGAAGAATGATGAATGAAACGATTGCTGCCCCATCCCAAACCCTCAGTCAATGTAGCAGCACTATACTGCGAGTCAGGCTATTTGTTATATATATATTGTCATATATATATATATATATATATATATATATATATATATATATATATATATATATATATATATATATATATATATATATATAGAGGCTATAAGATAGTTGATGTATGTACTTAAGCCCCCACAACTTCCTGTTTTTGACGTCATCAGTGTGTGTCTAATGCTGCTTATTATATTGTTAAAAAAAAATAGAACATGAAAATATTGTAAGTGGAAAGCTGTTCATGTTGTCTACAGGTGGAAATCTTTTCTCTGGTACAGTTGGAGTAAATGAAAATTGCTCGAAAAATAAGAAAGTAAATCAATTCTCATTCAAAAATATTATGGACCCATTGAATGTATTAGAACTCTCAAAAAACAAAACTAAAAATTAAAATCAAACATTAATATTAAAATGACTGAATTGCAGGATAATCTAGATACTTTATATGTATGTAAAACAGTGCAATTCTTTGGCGGTGATAATACATCTGTTTATTTATCAAATTTATAAATGAGGAAAGAGGTATTGATATACTTAATGTAATAGTAAGAATATCTATAGAGTGTGGCATTTGATCTAAAGTATGCAAACAGTGTTTTTGGACTTTCAAGTCATTCTGGCAAATATGCTTATCTGAATTGTGAAGGAGAATGCTCCCTCAAAGCAGGGAAACTAAAAACATTGGACTCCAATGTTCTTAGTTATGTGATTGAAAAAAAACATTAAAAATGCAGGAATACAGAAATGTTATAAATCCTTGTTTAATATACTTAGAAGAAGATCAAGAAACATTTCTTGAACACGTTGTTCTCCCACCAGAGTTCTCCCACCACACCACCAGAACGCCAGAATTTCACATTAAGATGGTAGTTGTGGATAAACTTTTGTGTTTTGACAGCTTTTCAAAACTGGTTGAAAACACATTACATAGTAATGAGAGGGTACCATGATAGGTCTTGTTTTAAAGCGTAAACTAGCGCGCTATTTACATACACGCTTAGCCATTTACGTACGCGCTTAGCCATTTCATGTAAGATTTTTATCATTTTTTAATATTTAAACAAGTCTAAAGAAATTATTTAAGTGGTAAGATAAAAGAAGTAATTGTTATAAAAACTACTTATGAAGTTTGAATGACGCTTATGTAAAAAAGTTTGCATGACAATTACATTTGATATTTGCAGTATTTACAAATGCAATAATTTATGAAGAAAAACAGAAAACTTTATTTTTATTAAGCTAACTTTTCTATCAAAAATGATCAGTAAAAGAAAAAGAAAAAAAAAAGTTATAGGCACATAAAAAAAAAAATCATCAAATAAACATAAAAAATTTTTTATTTATCACCTTGCAAAAACAAGAATATTTATTTAGACAATTTCTCATAATAAATAATAACAAAAATAATTACCCAATTTAAAAATAAAAAACAAATAAAAAATTGTTGGCTAAAAAATAGTACACCATATATTTTATTTTATATCAGTGTCACTTTTGATATTTCAAATTTTGATTGTTTGTTTTGTTATAATAATTAATTTATTAAAAAAAGTGAAAAAACATTATAAACTTTTAATGACATCTTATACAAAGTTTTATTTTTTATAACTAAAAAAAAATTCTTTTATGGATATGACTAAAATTAATATTTTTGTTTGAATTTAAGCTTGAAGCAATATAGCTCTTGCAATGTCTTCATTTATATTTATAAGATTTATTTTGCAAAAAATACTAGTTTAGAAAATAATATTTTATAATAGTTACATCAGCTTTATATGAATAACAGATTGTGCGATATCAAAAAAGCAATTTCAAGAAATAATGAAAAATAAATATTTTAATTTATTTATACTAATGTCGAAAAAAGAAAGAAATTAATGTATGTTAAATGATAATAAAAATAGTAAATTTAATTAAAATTAAAAAAAAAAATGAAACAAAAATAAACATTCCATTTAGACAATAACACTTCTAGAATTCTTTTTCTTAATTAGTAAATTAAACTTGTTTTGTGTTTTAATGTTTTATGTCCTTAAATAATAAAAAAAAATAAAGATAATTTTATGACATCAAAATCACTAAAAAGCTAATGAGTTGAGCTGTTTTTTTATTTAAAACAAGGCCTGTCATGGAATAGGTTTAGATAAAAGCAATGCTAATATATTTATGTCCCTTTTAGATTTTTTTTTGAGAAGGATGTTACCTTGACTGTATTTATTGATAATTGTTTGTGTTAATTTTCATTAACGAAAAAAAGTGTTCAGTTCAGTTTTTAGAATAAACCTCAAATCTGCTATAATAAAACCAATAGCATTAATATAATTTGTGTTTTATGTGTATTTGTTATATGCATTTTTTGTAAATGAAATTTATATATATTAATGGCTTATTTTGACTGTCATAATGGCTGTTTTTAATAAAACTTGGGAAGATAAAAATCAAAAAATTTCAAGTTTGAATTTTAAAAATATTTTTAGCACTTAGTTTAGATTTTTATGACAACTTAAATTGCATTTGCAAATGCATTTTTTTTTTTTTTTTTTTTTTTTTTTTTTTTTAAGATAAAAGTTTCAATGAAAACTTTCATTAAAAAGGTCATTTGTCACATTTTATAAAGACAAAATTAAGTTATTATTTTTTAAATATATTTCAGGATTTAAAAACTAGGGAAACATTAAAGTATTTTTCTGTCTTTATTGTCCAAATTTTCCATTTCTTTTTCCTCTTTAATGTCATTGATGACCTATAGGAAATAGAATAGCAAAAGTATACGACTGATATTTTGTAGAAGTATTAATATTTGATAATAAAGATAAATGATGTAGGAA